TCTTTGGACTGTGGAAGGAAACCCACGCAGACACAAGGAGAACATGCAACTCTGTGTGGAAACCAAAACAAACCAAACTAGAAAAGAGCATTTCCAAAACCAAACATTTTGCTGCCACTGAGGCTAGCATCAGCGCCACTATGGAGAGTGAGTTAGCAGACTGCTGACGCTGTAGTAGCCAGCAAACATGGGACCCCCCACAATATCAGAGGGTATTTCACACTGGTTACTATCAAATCTTTGAAAAATGTTTTGTTGAACGTTAATTTTACCCCTTTTGTACCTGTTGTTAAGCTCTACAAGTTAACATCTGTCGCACAGATTATCTTTTCCAGACATAGCGTACTGTTTCTTCTGGACTTTGAGCCACATGATTCTACCTACTGTTAATAAAAAGGGTTTTCCGCCCAGTATGGGAAAGCTGCCAATATTTCTTTTGCCAATATTTGTGCCTCCCTTTGCGCATCTGTGAACTGATGGACTGAAATATAAAATCAGCAAGTGAACATTTAAAAACTGTATATTGAAAAAATTAAATTAAAAACAATAAAAACATGCAGGCGATATGACCATGAGCACACACTGGAGCACACACTGGAGAAACTTAATCAGAGGAAATGATTTCTGACTGATCGATTTCAGCCTGTATGTGTTCCGTTCAGCAGAACCATCAATGTTTCCGGCCATTTCACTCAACTGTGCATTTTGCTTGGCTCTGGGCTTTCTTTAGCCCTTCTGTTGATCTTTTTTTTTTTCTTCTCAGAGCTGCTAATATCGCTTCATGCCTTATTTATACCGCATTTGATCTTGGCTCGCTAGTAAAAAAGTTTTAAAATCAAATTACGTATCTTCATCAAGGGGACGAGATGAAGAATCAGAGAAAAGATGTCTTTTCCTTTTTTTCTTTTTCTATGTAACATTTGCAGCTCATTCTTGCTAGTGGCTAAGTGGCAGTGCTCCAGGGCTTGCACTGAAAATCTAATTTGAGAGGCTGCAGGAGAGCCAAGACCAGAAGCCAAACATAAATTTGCTCACCATAGAGCTAGCCAAGCAGTAACTTCCACTGCTATCACCACCCAGCATCTGATTCATCTCTCTCTCTCTGTCAAAGAGGATCAGTAGCACAGATGCGCAGAGTTAGCATTAGCTTAACTGGCTTAAACGAAAAGCGCTCTCGGAAGACACCTAAAAGGGAGCTAAAAGCACTGGAAAGTGGGCCTGTGTTGTCGAGTCTGCAGAAAAAGCTTGCTTGTGGAGCAAGCCTGCTTTTGGGCCCTTTTATCCCATCTGATGGCCCATTATCATCTAGATAAAGGCTCATCAGGAGAGAAGCACACATCAGCACCTGTTCTTAATGGACTGGACACTGAAACTACTGCCAGGCATCAAATGTCTTTACATTATCTTGCTGCAACTTGACCAGCTAGCTTTAAGTTTTCAACGTAAATATTTTTTAATATTAATTAAATCCTGACTTGACCATGACCAGTAATTTTAGTACTATGTGGAAGGTTGGCATACCAAAGTATTATCTATTTGTGTTGTGCAATCTTACCCAGAGCAATATTTTTTCAAAAAGACAAGGCAGCCTAGTTTAGCCACACTGCAAAGACAGCATGTGGGGAACACTGCGTGTCAAAAACTGAGGCCTTTGATCCATGACTTTATGTCCATTGTTCTTGGAAGTAAGCCATGTATGACTATCTATGATTACGTGATTAGTTATAGCAGTAAGTCATTTATTGCAGTATTGAAATAGTAGTACACGTTGTCCTTAGCTGTTGTAGCAACCACAGCAAAAAAAAAAGGATCAGTAGTGTAGCTACAATCTAAAATGGCATTGTATTTAGTTTTCTCTATGTTTTTATACGCTCTTTAAAAAGATGATCCTTCAAGGGTTCTTTAGTAAAGAAAATGGTTCAATATAGGACCATGAACAATCAAAGAACCCGTATGATTAAATAGTTCTTTGCATCATGATAACTTTCTTCAGACTGATGGAGAATGTGCTGTAAATGGTTCTATATAAAACCTTTTTGAAAATGGTTATATGTGGCATCCAAAAGGGTTCTTCTTCCCATGGCCAGATCTGCCTTCAGGGCACCTTGGGTGAGCACGCTGGGGCCTTGCGTGGCAAAGGGCCTTAAGCATAAAACATAGCTAATCATAGCTAAGTCATGTGTTTAACTGAGAACACTCATAGCAACTTGCAAAATCTTTTAAACTGCATTTTTAACCCTTTGAAAGATGAGTTTTACACGCTTCTATACCCTAAGCATAGCTCAATCAGTTTACATTGAAGTCCCTGTAATTACTGAGTAATAAGCCTTAATATGTAATATGCCAGGGATTTTAAGGGTTTAAGAGAATGAATTTTTCTGAATGAAGTCATCCATGAGTGTTGTCATTCTTTTTGTGGCCAATCAAAATCCTAATGTTCTCTGTGTCGTTCCTGAACGTGAGTTAGCCCAACAGACCAGTCCCAAGACCCACTTTATTCTTCTAGCCAATCACTGCTTACCATTTGTCGCTGTTTATAACTGTCAGCTTGTGTTACAAATGTGGCTGCTTTAGCGTCATCAATGGTTTGTAAATTTGATACTTGAGAAGGCTCTTTTACTAAAATCATTAAGTAGCCTTTGTCAAAATGTGAAAGCAAATATCTATCTCCAAAAAGGTCATCAAAGGTAAGATAAAGACCATAAACATGCCTGCTTATTAATTCTGATTGACAGTTTATTAGATTTTTAGTTTATTGGTATTGTTTTTCCCTGACTTTGTTGTGTAAATCTCAGCTGTTCTATTTTAACTTGGTGATGTTTCATCTTTACTGGGCAACAAATTGTGCCTTATAGGAAGGGTGTCATTGGTTGGATTTGAATTCGCCTGTGTTTTCTTTTATGTGCACATAGTCTTTCTCTTGTTTTGTCTTGAGTGGCCTATTGCTACATTCTTTTGTTTTCTCCATGTGGACTCACATTCTGTTTTTCATAAGTGGCACCAACACTCAAAACCAGAATGGTCATACTTTTAGCAATAGAGTGACATAGACCTACTAAAATGCTTAAATGATATTGCCTGTGGCTGATTAAATGTAGAAAAAGTGCATGTTTTGATGTTAGATGCACGATCATAGGAAAGCGAATTTCCTGTAGATGTGAGGCTGCTTTCATCAGTTTGATTAAATTCGTTGTTATAAAGTAATGAAAAGAGTTGCTTGGGCAAAAAGAACTGTCAATTTGAGATTTTTTACTTTAGTTCCTTTAATACCTGATTAATCCTGATATACCAGTTGCAGTAAATGTTCATTGCATGTGTGTGTGTGGGTGTGTGTGTGTGTGTGTGTGTGTGTATACACATGCATGGTGAGGGTGACTCCAGTGAGAGTTGGGAGATAGAGAGCCCTAGAGCATCAATAACTAGGGTCCTGTGAGGTACTAAAATAGTACCGGTGCTGTGCAAAGGTCAGAAACCACCCTTCATTTATTTACTTTCGATATAAAACGTCACTAAGTTCAACTTATTAGACTTAATAGAAATAAGACAGTGAGGAAGAGAAAAGTCAAGGAAAACAAGTGAAAAAAACTGAAGTTTCCAAAACTGCAATTCAAAAGAATATTAGAAAAATATTTAAAGAAAGTTGGAGTCCTAACAACCGTGCAAGATCTAGTAGACCACGAAACCATCACCAACCGTCACCATCACATAAACAGTACTTGAAGCTTTTATCTTTGAGAGATAGGAGAAAATCAGGATTCACTCTTGCTTCAGATCTGAAAAAAATCTACAGGTGTTTCTGTCCATCCTTCCACTGTGAGGAAAAAAGGAAATTTGCAAATCTGACAAAGAAGCTGTTGGTGTCCTCAGAACAATGGACTGAAAACCCCAGAGTCCAGACCTCAACATCATTGAATATGTTTGGATTACTTGAATCTTGAGAAGCAGAAAATACAACCAACTTCTAGAACTGAACTTTGAAAGTGTGGAAAATGTCCCTGCAGATTTCTTTGAAAAAACTGAAAGCAAGTCTCCTGAAAAGAACAGAAGCTGTAATGAAGGCAAAGGTTGCTGTGGCTTCTGTGTAATTTTTAGTTATATATGTGAGAGAGTGTTTTTTCTACTATTTTCTCTTGACACTGAGACTCGCTAACTTGCTCTTAATGGCTGTTTTAACTGCAAATTAAATAATTGGGGATGGTCTCTGACTTTTGCACAGCACTGCATGTGATGTTCCTTGAAATTCAGGAGTGTACAGGTGTTTCACTACGGGCTGTCAGTCAAAGACAAAAGATGACTGTTCAGCAAAACCCTGTTGTCACCCATTAAGTAACCACAAGAGGGTGACAGAGTCTTTCTGCAGATTATATAAAGTATTTCTATAGCATACATTAAGCTTTAAAAGCACATAGGAGGTTGAAACAACTCAGATTCATGAGCCCTCTTTTAGGGCATAGATTTCAGTGGTGCTATTAAAATTACGTTATGCCAGGTTCCAGTACACAGAATTGCAGTATGTAGCAGATCATTCTTAGACACAGCATGGACATCTGGACTGCATCAGCGCTCTGTTTACCCACATTCTCTTAAACTCATCACATTACATGCTCGGCTGTGATACATCATCGTAATATATGTCTTAATGACTGTCGTAAAACTCAAAGTGAGAGCACTGCGCAAGTTGACAAAAAGCATTAATGACTATTATCAATCTGTCACAGATAACGGTGAGAATAAAGCTACTGTAGTGTACGCACAGCAGTTAAAGTTAAAGGTGAACGTCTGCCCCTTTGAAAAGGGCTCGAAGTATGTTGAGAGGTATGCGTTGCTGGGCTCTGAGGGAACAGACTGTGAAGGATTTGGACCAGCCGTAGCTGCACACACTTCTCAGCCCAGAAAATTCCTCTGGGTCAAGTACACTTTCTGAGTCCAACCAGGCCAGTGGAAATAATGATACACCCACACACAGCCAAACACACCCTGTTATGTAAAAAATCTCACACTAAGCTGTTTTTAAGTATTTCTTTATGCTTTTTTATTAGATATATTTGCATCATCTTTATTTGTACATCATATTTGTTTACATTGCTTTTGAACGTTCAATTCGATGCAACAATACTGGCCTGCAACACATGAAGTCACTTTCCTATAACATCAGTGAGGGAAAAAAAGAACATTTACAGCTGCTGACATTAAAAGTGCTTCATCATCTTTCTCTGCTCTTAAGTAATTCCTGTAGGGTGCCATGGACGGAAAGACCAAAGTTCACTCAGGGCCATCATCATCAACTATACTCTGATTCGTTTTAATGAATCAACAAACCATTTCATAATACGCCCCTCAATGGTCCTCAGTGAAGTGTTATCAGTGATCCGGTTATCAGGTTTTTTTATAGTGCTACTTAAAATTTCATTTGCATTGTTTACATTATTTATAATTCAAGTCCCTTACAAGCTTACAGACACTGTAAACATACCAATTCTGAGAATACAAAAATACACTGTCATAGAAAATAGAATATGTGCATATTTCAAATGTTCAACAGCACCATCAAACTGTATCGTCATTGACCAGAGCACCTTTGTTGATTTGAACTTCACCATAGCATTTTTAATAGACTAGTGCAAGATGATGCAACAAGGAAAACACAGTCCAGACTGGCAGTGAGTTTGCATATGCTAAAATTTTAGGTTATTTTAATTATTTAAAGGCTTGATTTGATCTTTTGTATAACACAAACCTCTTGAGATTTCCTGTTTAGCAAAATTTGAAGCTGAGTGTACCTTTAATTGATTTCTTTAAAGAGCTCAATTGTTTTTGATGTTCATTATCGTACAACACCACCCTTCATTTATTCATTCATTTCCACTCAAAATAAGTTTTTTTTTTTCAATTATTCATTTTTCAGCACCAGAAAAAAGTAGAATACATATTTAACAGAAAATTACACAGAAGTCTCAATCACTAAATATCTTTTAGTCATTTTTTTGAACTCCAGTTTTAGAAACTTATTCTTCCACTTTTTCATATGACTTTCTCCATCCTTATGTAACTGGATTAATTTATATCCAGTCATTTCTGCAAAGTGAGTAATTTATGTTAAAGTGCCATTTTGACTCTAAATTTAATAAATGAAGCGTGGGCTCTGACTTTTGCACAGTACTGTAGGTTACATTGAAGACCTCTGTATATACATTTAATTGATGCATGTTACTGAAACCTGTTATCCTTATGCAGTGTTTGTGTTGTTATATCTGTATTTATCCAGCATAATCAGTACCAAACTTCCAGCTTCCAGACAAAAAGTGATTTGTCACACAATGACAACCAGTAACACAACACCACAATAATAACATTCACTTTCACAAGCGTATGTATGGATCGTTTGAGTCATTAAACTTAGTCCTTGATTCAACTTTATGCTCCCAAAGCCTCTGATATTCTTCTCACATCCCTGTTCTCTTCATACTCAGATTGGAGGATAATAATGTTATGTTACTTGAGAGGGGCTACTTTTGTATAGCCTACTACATGTCCAATATAAATGATACAAGAAGTATGCAATAAGACGATATTTCAGTTATTCAATGCAAATATACTTGGATGTGTTTTATGCCTGTAGACACATTACAGAGGTCCGCTAGCCTTCACTCTTGGCTTTGATGAGGTGCCCGCTGAATGTAATGTAAGTGTCGAAGTCATCACTGAAGACAGCGTTTTCCCTCTCGCCCTTAAAGAGCCGTACCCACACCTCGTCGTCTCTCTCCAGCTCCAGCATCAGGCTCTGGCTCTGCATGATGGAGCGATCACTGGGCTGGGCGTACAGGATGGCCATCTCCTGCTCATTCTTCATCACGTGCAGGTACGTCTCCTTCTGGTTCCACGTGTGCACATTCAAGCTGAAGTAGTAAATCCCTGGCACATAGCAGAAGAACTTTCCTGTGAACATGTTGAAGTGGCCGTACAGGTTGACCAGCTCAGTGTCGAACACCAGGGTCTGGTAGTAGTCGTTGCTGTGCAGAGCCTTCTTGCGGCCCACAGAGAAAGCAGCATAGTAGGACTTGCAGGGTTCTCCTGGAGTTCCTATGCTGCCCTTGGTGCCTTTCAAGCCATGGGTTCCTCTTGGGCCCATCTGCCCGGTCTTGCCTGTTTTCCCGTAGGGCCCTCGCTGGCCGACTTCTCCTTTTTCCCCTGTTTGGAAAAGGAGCAATAAAGGAATAGATTGGTCAAAAAACTAAGGAGCAATTAAGGAATAGTTTGGTGAACAACAAAGTTACACAGTTCAATCCTTACCCTAAACTGGTGGTGTTGGTATCCAGAGTTTGCGTCTTTAGTTTGGCTTTGTAGCTACAAAGCTAATGGCTTTAGTTTTGCATTGGAGCTATAAGACCAGCTAACAAGTAATAGAAGTTCTCATGATTTAGCACTCATGATTTAGAATTATGTTAATTGCATTTCTTAATGCCTGAATTTCTGATACTGTATGACATTATTTTAAAAAATGAACAAAAGTACAGGCAGTGGTTTCTGCTACTGCTACTGTTTTTCTGTGCAAAGCACTTTTGTGTATTTTTATAGAGAACAGTATGTCAGATCTCACAAAATATAGTTGATTTAGGAATGCAGTTTGCACAATGTAATTTGTTTAGGCTTAAGCCTCTATTACTTGTTAGCTATTACCTCATAGCTCCAGTGAAAATCTAGAGAAGCTAAATTCAGACACCAAACATGTCCTGGCTGACAGACTATATTTGAGATAAGGAAAAATTAGATTTTTCACCAAACCATTCCCTTAACAGGCTTCATGAGTATCTCCAATTAAATATTACATTTCAGATTATGTATGAGCAGGAACCTTTATGAACAATTTAATGTGTTGCAGTCATAATACACTCAAGACAAACTAAACTTCTTATGATAGCTATTGTGTAACTGGTCCAATAGTCATTAAAGCTTTATTCAAAAAATTTGGTTGGCTCTGCCAGAGAGTTTCTGGACAATGTAGTGTCCATTTTCTCTCTGAGGGTCCTGCAGAACCATTCACACTCTGACTTATTGTCCCCTATTCTTTTTGGTTAGACCATAAGTGGTGAAATTACACAGGCCAGGAGGCTATTTTTGCATTAACACAGAGCTTTTCAGCATAAAACTACAACACTATTCTTTGCTAAATAGATCGACTTAGCTGGGAAAAATGGTTTCTGATAGGCAGTGCATTTCACGATAGGATCTCAGTGATGGAATGTCTTTTTTTGTCTCTTGTACCAGTCCTGGAGAGTTTAACAAGGTATTTTTGTAAGGCATAAACTTTGTACCTTTGAGAATAGTGATGTTTATCTGTGGAACCACCTGGTATTGTGGGTAATTGCTGCTATACTGGAGTGGTTCCTCCACTGGGTCACAACATCGCCGGCACTCTGTTCTCTTGCTGTCACTGCAGGAGACAAAAACTTATCACTGCCTATGCTTTATCAGCTTCATTAGCATGCAATAATGATATGGAAGAGGGATTATTATAGGACAGCTTATTGAATTGCGTTATTAAAGCAATAAGCCACTCAAGGTTGTGTGTCAGAGTGATTTTACCACGATTAAGGGGTGTTGTTAACCTTTAAATGTAGTAAAATCATGGTAATATAAGTGGCTTATTGCTTTAATAAAACATCTATATAATAAAATATACCAGTATTCAATAAATAATTTAGTTTATTATTAATATAAGAGCAATAAATAATTCCTCTGCCAAACTATGTAGTTCATTTAAAGTAGGCCATAACTGCTAAACATTATCAGAGAGAACGATTGTTACATGAATAGCACAATGCTGTTTAATAATTTTATGCATTAATACAGAGTAATTGATGTGTTTGTTCATCTGCATATGGGGTATTTTACAATTTAGAATGTGAGATTTATCTTTGTTTTTAAAATGACAAATTTCTTTCATTTGAACTGTGAGTTGCAAGACATTACATATAATTATAATATAAAATACATTACCGGTACCTGTTCTCTCTATGGTAATCTGTTTCTTGGCGATAATCTCTGGGATCATATCTGTCCTGATCTTCCTCGGGGTGAGGTGTCCTGTACGGCTCAGCCCACTTTGCACACACCAGCAACAGTACTCCCACGCTCACCGCTGGCAGGGGCATCCCACGACCACCACACACCTGCATCATCTGGAACATGTGCTGAGGAGTGAGTCAAAAAGCTGTGAACCTTGCAAGGGACTGAATTTTGACCAAGTATTTTAAACACAGTCATTTTGAAGCACTGTGAGACATATTGTTTATGCACAACAGTAATTATGGTTCAATCATCCAAACTATTCCAGAGAGGGTCAAAAACCTTCTTGGGTCTGGTTAAAGTGGCTTTGGGTGTGCTTTGGGGACACTGAGCTTCTATTATTATCTGTTCTTTTGCAAAATACAACTGCAGCAGAAACAGTGTGTTCTGCAAGTGGCATTGCTGTTCTCAGTTGCCAAATTTCCTGCCCGCTAGGCTAATGTTTCATCCTCAGTTTAGACCAGGCACTTCTTAATTAAACCAAATGGACGAGGTAGAAATAACAGAGAAGGCAGTTTTGAAACAGTGTGTAACACCACTGATCACTTCAGACATGGGCTTCATAGCACACATAGTCATATGAGACAGTTTTAGGCCTTGTGCAACATGATGTCTGGGTCGCAAGGTGTGCATTACCATGTTGGGCTGAGTCGAGGTGTAGTCTTTCGCTTAAACTGATCATGTGATCCCACATTAATTACAAGTGTGCATGCAAGATTAATGTAGTATGAAAAAAACAGTCTGAGCAGGAGTGAAATAGTCCAAAGCAAGCAACATCATAGGTAGAAGCACTTTTTATTCTTTTCAAATATTTTTTGCTGGTACAGTGTTGACATCATCACAGCTTGGGGTACCCAGGCGAAAGTGTTTAGTGGCTCCTCACAGAACAGTATACAATAAGGGAGCACTTTGTTCAGTGTAAAAACAATGTCTAACTCCATGTTTTATGTAGTTTTGTTTCTGTTTCCATCTTCTTTTTGCTATGTAAACAAGCAAATACTAGTTCTGAGCCATATCCTCTTCTGAAAATGAAGAATCATGAGGACCGTTTAGAAAGCCCTGACAGAAGTTTTTGGCTGATTGATTGACTAGTCCCGACAATTCCATGATCGGACCTCTTTATCTGCTTCATCTCAGACCTAATCGAGATTCCACTCGCTGCTACCTGTCCAGTTGAGTAATTGTTTGCATAGTGACAATTAACCTAAGGTCAATTCCTTACATTTGATCTTTTCTGATGTGCCGTTTCAAAGCAGCTTTGTGCAATTGAGAAGTTGTTTTGAGGAAAAAACGGGCAGTCCCCGTGAAGTCAAAGCTGTTTAAAGTGCTTTATGTGAAGAATTTGCATGAGTGAATGTGCTGTTGAACAAAGCCCTGCGCTGGGCCACATTTTTGCGGAACAGTGGCAGTAAATTACACTGAGATTACACTGAGAAAGCCTAATGTGGTAAGAAGGCATAGGGACAAAAATTTGCTAGCACCTTATAAAAATGGTATCTCAGGCTACATTTACTTACATACACAATTGACCACTTCTGAGTGCACAGGGAATCGGCTAAGATGTTCATATGCATAAAACAATTTATCGCTTCCATTAAGCCGTTCATTTTTCAGGCACAAGAGCTACTGTCAGATTACTTAAATGAATGAATCTGACAAAAGGCCCTCCCGAACTGACTCTCTGAAATGGATGCTCTCCAACTGGCATTGGTTTTTGGAGCAACCTAATTTCTCAACGAGGAACACTGACACAGATGAGACCAGTCAGTGGACAAAGCAAGTAATGTGGGGAATTTTACACAAATGTTGTATTCTCTGGTATACACAGACAAAACACAGCAATAATGTGGATTACGCTCCTGAGCTGGAAGAAATGGAAAATTACTCCATGCAGGACACAGCTATAACTGTCTCCAGCTGTGCAGACAACCTCTGATGAGGGCAGGTCTCCATTTAGAGACTAAGCAAATGACACACTTTGACTATGTTGACAGTAGGTCAAGTACACCAGTAAAACAGTGGCATTAATGTGCCACATTGCATTATAATATAAAAAAGGAATTTATTGGCTTTTATTGGATTTGTAAGGCTCTATTGAAACAGTTACCAGTATACATTACATCTCTACTTACTTTTAGAATGAATGAGAAACTCACTAGATATAATAATTGGCAGGAATGGTAAGGTAACACTTTCTTACTATTCCCACCTACAGAATTTGGCAAGAAAGTATTTTCATTCATTGTCCTATTGGAATAACTTTCATTTGGGTGCCAAAATATGACACCTTTTACCTTTCAGTCGAGTTAAATTTGTCAAGTAACATATTAAATAAAATATGGAGGGCTTTTGTCTTCATTTTATTTTAGGTTTATGCTTTTTATTTGTTTTTAGATTTCACCTTTTATAGGAACCAAAATATATAAGTGGACAACCCTCCCTGTATTAAAAAAAATAAGTAGTACTAAGTAGTAGTAGTAAAGATATGATAAAAAGAAGAAGGACAATGAAATGTGTATAATTGAGAGATGGCCTATGAGAACAAAAGCTACATTATAACAGGGCATAAGACTTCTCATAGGACATCCCATTTATATGCACCCTCTCTGTGTGTAGCATAATATTCCTCAGTGCTGGTTTATCTAGATATGGCCATTGACTCTGAAATAAAAAACCCAGTTCCAGCTGAAACAACAGTGAACACATTGCACATACAAGCCATAAACCTGACAACTCAAAGTGTCTTCATGAACACAGATCAAACAAAATGATTCACTCTTCTGGAAACATGTGATTTAGTGAACATGCACTAGTAATCCAGTCACACTGTTGTGCATCTCACTGTGTTTGAAATAAACCACTCTATATGGTGTCTAAACCCATGGTCTTGAAGATGCAGAGGGATGGAAAAACCTGTAGAGGTTCAAAGGTTTTTGAGGGCCACTGCTTTGAGGGGGCTCTAATCCCTCACTAATCTTTTGATGTGCTCACTTGAGTTTACTCTGACCTTTTCTTGCTACTCACTACTGAGGCAGATGAGTGGTGCAGGTCTGCATCTATAATCACCTCACAGTTAGCACAGACAGAGCTCCTGTGAGTGTGTGTGGTGGTTTGTAAGTCTTTTTATTTGGTCTACATCTTGTACCCCTTGTTTGTTTGCCCCCCCTGCTTTTCATGGTCATTCAAATCTGATAGTTCTGGTTGAAATTCTCTCTGCTTCCTGCGGATGTCAAGGTCTGAAGGTCGTTGTTTACTCCTGCAGCAGTCATTCAGCGGCGCCTTCGCCCCAGCCAAAAAGTTAGCTCAGCTCTATCAACATCTGCTCTGAGCTGACTGTAAATGCATTACATAAGCCGAGAGTGTTATTGCTTTCTCCTTCTCCAGGGAACGCCATGCTCCAAATCATTAGCATCCCACTGCTTCTCCTCAGATCATCTGACACCAGCTTCACCTTCTACTGTGTTGATTCTGAGAGATGTGAGCCAACAACAGAATGAAACAAAAGGAAAAAAATGGTTTTCTAGCTTTCTCTTTTTTATGAAGGCCTGAAATGTCAACAAAAGAAGGCCAAATGCCTTTAAGCTTCATGCCTGCCTTTCTCATTCTTCCACAGTTTCAAGAAATCCTCTAGTATTATTACACATACTATAGGTTTCATCACAATTGAACTTAATTACTGTTTACCAATCTGCTTTGTTCTCTTCAGCACCTCTCTGTATAATGGCATAGAGGCATGTGTCGACCTGTCTGTCCTCGAAGGCAAAACTGCGGTAGGTAGAGTGCCTGACTCTTGATTTACATGCTGTGGAAAGAAAAGTTTTAAAGTCTGTAGAGTACACAGCAACAGGATAAAAGTTAACAAGTTCTCTTTGACTGTGTTTAGAAGTTTGGTTAGGGGTCATGTCTCTGGTGAGTGACCCTCAAGGTACAACTTAATGGCTTTCTAAACTTTCGCAGCCCCTGGCACCTGACAAAACTTTTCATTCATCCTTGAGGTCAGTACTCTATTCTCTCCTTTTACTGGGGTAAAGTACTTGGTTCCATTCCTGTAAATTTAGTAGGAAATCAGCTACAAGTCTGGAAATAATTGGACTGTTATACAATTTTTGTTTGGTATGTAGCTGGACTCTTTGGATTTGGATTTGCACAAAGAACATGAGGTTCAAGTGCACAGTCTCGGCTTTAACGTGCTGATATTTACATCTATATTGGATGAACACTGTAGTAATTACAGGCATAAACTGTTTAACTGAGACTTTGAGTGACTGGCCTAAGTAGCATAATCTAAAACATAACTGTTTAGTACTTAGTTACAAATTCCATCTAGAATTTGAATTTGTAGCCTTTGAAATCGATGCCTGCCTAAAGTCTATGGATATCTTCCCTGCTGTTGCTCTATCAGGCTTGTTTCAGTTCATCTGTAAGTGAAGTGCTGCTCAGTGAGGTTCTTTGAGTACTGACCAATCAAGAGCATTCTTTTTGGCCCTGAAGAACTTAGTTGGTTTCATAGCATGTTTCAGATTACTGCTCTCCTGAAAGGTGAAACACCATTAACTTTTTTGATGTACAGTATAGTATATATCTTTTATCTTTATCACAGTATAGTGATAAAGATAAATGAGCCAATTCAACGGGCATTCTTTTTAAGAAAACTTCAAGCTGGCTTTTCTGTTTTTCAGTCCCACCAGCGGTTTGTATTTTATTTTAAGCTACATTGTTGAATGTAGTCTTTGACACTTTATGTGTGGCAATTTTTCCTCATGATTGAAAGTACTCTTTTGTCGTTAGTGTGGTTTACCATGGTCTGCAAGTTGTTTGCGATTGATAAGCTCAAATGTTCTTGTTTAGTAGCAATGTACCAAACAGTTGATTCATAATGGTTTGCTCTACTGTCATTAAAACTTATTTGACTCACATATTGAGAGACAAGAGCAGCAGACTCTGGATGCAAATGCCACATGCAGATCAACTCTAGACCTGTTTGTAGGCTCTTCTATGCATGAACAACACACAACTGGCCAAGAACAACTGAGCCATCTTCCAGTGACTTATGGTGCCCTGAAGTTGGGCGAACTATGTACAATGCTGTGAAAAAGTATTTAATTTTTTCTTTTACAGCATCATA